GAGTCTCTCGGGGGGGGGGGGGGGGGGTAAAGGGAGACCGGTGCGTAAGGCTGACAACCTTAACGCCATCTGTGCGCCGATTGTCTAGATCAGTGTTCCACAACCTTCTACTCGCGGCACACCGTGAAGTATCCATGACTTAACACGGCACACCAAAATGTTATGTCCCTCAAAAACGCATGATATCAGACAATTAATATAAATACGTAACGTGATCAATTTATTATTATAATATTATTACCTTGTTATTTCATTATCATTAAACAGAAATCGACTCGTGCGTTTATTAACAATTAATGAACTTTAATTCACTGTGGAGTGTAGAAAATACACTTCTGTTACTTTTAAAGTAAATACAGTAATTCTAATCATACCTTCAATGTGATACTTGCGCCTGCGTAGCTGCACACAGGCGACTGATCCGTGGTGGAATCGTTGACAACGCAAGTCTCATTTCTTCATCGATGGATCTGAGCCGCTCCCTCTTTGATGTCTTAATTTCAGTTAACGTCGAGAAGCCCAGGTAACACAAATATGTAGTTGAAAATAGTAATAACAGATTAACTGCCAACTCGGAGATAGCCGGGTATTCACTCCTTATTGCCAACCAAAACGTATCCAAAGGCACTTCGAGAAATTTTAGTTTCAATGTTCTGTCTGCTTGTATATTAATAGGAAGATGTTCTGAATTCGCAACGAATGGATCACGAACTCAGTCGAAATCTTGTACACTCTCTCCACAATACTTATAGAATTTCTGCTGCAGCATTTCTAAATGTTCTTTAATTGTGTCCATCACCACTTTATTGCCGTCAGAAAGTGAGCATACAGTCGGGAACATCTCAACACTCCGTATAAGGAATTTATCCATCTTGAAAAAATAAAGTAGTCTAATAGTAATAGAAAATAGCAAAACTAATTAACCACAATTTTCGAACTACTTCAGAGCACAGCTGTGATAGAACTGAAACAATTGTAAGACGCGGGACCTCTACTCTTCAAACGGAAGAAGTGACACATACCGACTTATTTTTTAAATATTTATAATATTAAATGAAGTCCAACAATCGGTGGGTGCATCGTTACAGGAAGAAAGTCATAAAGTTGAAGAAGCTCTAATTTCTAACAAACAGGGGCAAATACCAACACAGCGTTATAAAAGACAGGGAAACCCTTGCTAATCCCTGAAGTTTTAGGAAAGAGCACGTACACAGAACATGCGGCAAGTATATCAAAGAAGCCGCGTAGATACGAGAAAAATAAAAATAAATCAACAATGAAAACTATGATATAACAACAACTGTGAGTAAATTATTTACGTTTAATTTCTTAGAATACAACATTACTCTACATAAAAAATCACGGCATGTAATAAAGAGTAAACAAACATCATCTTATTTAATCAGTGCAGTGGCTGAGAATAAAATACAAGCATATGAAACAGGGTAAGTGGGATAAAACCAAACGAATGAAATCGACAATTAATTTCTTACAATAGGTAAAAGTTCGCGTCACACCTTTCACCTCGTGACAGCACACCGGTTGCGGAACACAGGTCTAGACAATGTGGAACCCTCAACGTCTCACAACCCTATGGGCCTCCATGGCCTGTTACAGGGATAGCTTTACCTTACCTTAAGGCAGAGCAGATGCAGAGGAGCAAATGTACGCAAATGATCTGTTGGAATTCCAGTGGTGTTCGCGAGCTAAGTGCTAGTGATATGTGCTCAATTCTTGTTTCGAGCTAAGTGCTAGTGATATGTGCTCAATTCTTGTTTCGAGATAAGTGCTAGTGATATGTGCTCAATTCTTGTTTCGAGATAAGTGCTAGTGATATGTGCTGAATTCTTGTTTCGAGATAAGTGCTAGTGATATGTGCTGAATTCTTGTTTCGAGCTAAGTGTTAGTGATATGTGCTCAATTCTTGTTTCGAGCTAAGTGCTAGTGATATGTGCTGAATTCTTGTTTCGAGATAGAAGTCGCAAAGGGTGAAATGACATAAATTTAAAAATTTCCCCATAATCAATAAAAACGTGTGAGATCTGCTACGAGAAGTATCAGTATCCGTGCTGATACTTTAACTGACTGTCCTGTGAAGCACAGTACATGATTCGTCCATTTTTAGTTGCCCACAGCCACTGATACTTCATGTCACATTAGGTGCGAAGAAGAGGCTGCAAGACGGCATAAAATTCCACTTCTCCCTTGCATTTCTTTCAAAGCTTTCCACACAGAGCTGTACTCTCCCCCCCCCCCCCCCNTCTCAATCGGCCAGGAAAGAATTTGCATTGCAGCGGATGGTGTTAATTGAATATTGTCTAAAAACTTAATTGATCGGATTATAATTAAATCACATTTTATGAACTCACATATGATGTGGAATATCTGTACTCAGTATAAGAATGTATTATCTGAGATGTCTGAGAATGTATTTGTATTTATATTTATATTGGAAACATGAATTTATTTTGAGGCTTGTTCTACATCCTTGACTTAAGCCGGTAAAGTTTGTATATAGACTGCAAATAAATTATATTCTTTTCTATTCCACCAAACCAGCACCATTACAATTTTTGTAATTTACTGTTTCTATAATGGATGTTATACTATTGTTACATGATAATAAATACAAACCACTCCGTCCAATGTGACATATATGTCACATTGGAAGGAGTGGTTTGTATTTATAATTGTTAGTGTGATGGACCAAAATGAAACAAATCAAATTTATTGTTACATGAATTAAGTGAATGTATGAGATACGTCATGTGCGTGATTTTCCAGTCCTTGTTAGGGAATTATAAATTTACCAAAGTTCCTCGATGGCTAAGCACAAAACAACAGTCAGTTATTCAAGTATACGTTTTCTCTTCGATACCCAAAGGACACATGTTGGGCTAACAACAATAAAGAGTCGAATAATGGATATGGAAACAAAATATGCAAATATTAAATTTAAATTTCTGTTTCCTTTAGAATATATGAGAATTAAATTTTGACACTTTCAGTCTCTGCCGTCTTGTTCGAAACCCATTCATGAATGACATATTTGTTTTTCATCACCGCCTACTGTTACTGTTTGAGGGGTCCAGCACTGGGGCTGCCGGATGTTACATGAAGCTGATAATTCCACTTTTGACTTGGTTCATCCTGGTCCGTCATACTAGTAATAGTATAAAAGATTATTAACGCCGTCTAATGTGTGTTTTTTCATCTTTCATCTTTTACATGTTTCGGTCGGAGCGACCATCTTCAGAAGGACATGATCAATACATATGGAAACTACTATTACAATGTCATATATAAAGTAAGTAAAGCTATCCCTGTACCAGGCCGTGAAGGCCCATAATATTGTGAGACGTTGAAGCTCCCACATCTTCTAGACAATCGGCTCACAGATGGCGGTAAGGTTGTTTGCCTTATGCGCGGCCGCGCTTTACTCCCCAGGAAAGTTATTTAATTAATTTCTGGTACTAATTTCTGTTAGAAGCTGAGTGGACCCCAGGGCCATGGTGCGGCTGGAAGGGTTAGGTCAACAGAAAAAATCCAATGACCTCATCTGGACTTGAAACCGGGTCCTTCATTTTAATAAAATGTTAACCTTTAACAATTACTAAACTGTTCACAATTTGTTAATATATTTACAAATTATTATAATTAGTCTATTTACAATGTATTGTTTAAAAACGTTTCTTTAAAATCTAGAATCAATTTGGCTCACGCACAGCTTAGTAATTGTTAAAGGTTACTGTTTTATATATGTGACATTGTAATAGTAGTTTCCGCGCGCATTGATATGTCCTTCTGAAGATGGTCGCTCCGACCGAAACACGTCAAGGATGAGAGATTGAAAAAAAAGAGAAACACAACATTTATCAACCACACTGGACGGCGTTAATAATCTTTTATACTGCTAATTTCAGATTACATTACAGCGAAGTCCAGTACTGTTGAATAAATTCCAGGATGAGATGTGAGGGAATACAGACAACATAACCAAGTGACTCTCTGCTTTACTTATTCATGAGAGGTTGCCAATAAACATTAAGTTTTACTTCAGTTAGTACGTGTAGTACAGCGACCAATAATTAAGATAGTTCAAACGAATTCAGAGGGATAGATTCGTGCTGCGCTCTTTGCTTTGAAATAGAGTGGCGGAATTGTAAATAGGCCTACGGTTAAGTGATGCTGTATTTTATTTAGGATTGCATTTTGTATAAAATTTACCTTTTTGGCTAATTAAGAGGATACTGGTTTCGGGTAATGCTTGCTACCATTCAGTCCAGAACATTTTGTCTCCTCAGCTGCTGTCTAAAAACATAAAAATTATAATATACAAAACTATAATTTTGCCTGTGGTTCTGTATGGGTGTGAAAATTGGTCTCTGGCATTAAGGGAGGAACACAGGCTGAGGGTGTTTGAGGACAAGGTGTTCAGGAGAATATTTGGACCGAAGAGAGATGAAGTGACAGGAAGTTGGCGAAAACTGCATAATGATTAGCTTCGTAACTTGTACTCTTCTCCAAGTATAATTAGAATGATCAAATTAAGAAGAATGCAATGGACAGGGCATGTAGCACGTATGAGGAGAAGAGGAATGTATATAGGATATTGGTGGGAAAGCCAGAAGGAAAGAGACCACTGGAAAGACGAAGACGTAAGTGGGTGGACAATATTAAAATGGATCTTAGAGATAAAGGATGGGATGGTAATGATTGGATTGATCTGGATCAGAATAGGGACCAGTAGAGGGCTCTCGTGAACAT